TAAAAAGTAGGACATATTAGTCGAACAACCAAAAAAAAAAATTTTCATGAAAAAAGAAATTTTGTTTTGTATACCTATACATACGTTCGTTCCTCTTAATAAAAATCAGGAGGAAAATTTTTGTGAAAATTGAATAAAGTTCACTTGAAAAGCCTCGCATATAGGCATAACGAGTACATCAAGTTTAATTTATCTAACGTTGAATAAAGTGCAATGTAATCGTTACGTTAACACGCTGAAATGAAATTTTTATGAACAAGTTTTTATAAGTTTTTCTTTATTTAAAATTGACATTTTTATTACAAAAAATGTTTTATGAAGTGTAGAACTTTGCCACTTATATTAAAGTGGCAAAGTTCAAATCAAAATTTTTGTTACTTCTATAAAAATTGTTTGTATAGCCAAAATCCTTGAGTATAATTAGAAAAATATGTTCTAATGGGCTTCATGACCAATTAAAAATGACTTCTTTGTTTCTTCTATATTTGGAATAGGAAAACTCTTATCAGAGGTGTGTGGACCGCGTAATAGTTAAATAGAAAATTGGGTTAAGTGATTGAGAACATTTTATGATTAAAGTCTTGAAAAATGTATAAGGACATCGAAGTCAGAAGATTTTACAATACTTATGTAAATTGTAACTGAAAATTTTAAGATGCTAGTTGAATGTTAATGTATATGTACATACATCTGAGTTTGAAAAATTTAATAGCATATCGATGGTGAAGTGCACAAATATGCTGAATAGAAAATTTTTCAAAATGCAACGGCCCTCTTTCTGCGTTATAATTTTCAGTGACATACACATGCATTATTTTCCGAGATCGACGTAATACAAAATAGGTTAAGTTCAATGTCAAAGTAACAGTTTAAGTGTTTCTATTGAAAAAACTGATATACTAATGAAACACAAATATATTAAGTGCACAAGCTTTTATAAAAAACTCAAATTTTATTAAAAAAATTTATTTGAAATCAAAAACTATTAAATTGTTTAATTAGAAACAAAGAGAATAACTTGTGTCAATTAAAAAGCGCAAAGCTGCTTACTTTGTTCATATTATTAGAGGACACAAATATGAACTTTAGCAATTTATTGTTCAAAGTAGAAGAGAAGGAAAAAGAGATGTGAGGCGGAAACAATTATCGTGTTTACGAAATATCAGAAATTGGACGAACATGACATCCATTGGTCAGCTAATCCACACAGCATATAGTCGTGAGTCATTATCATTGCCAGTATTGCTTTGGTACATTATTGATGCACGTTAACATCCAGCAGTGGATATTCAGAAGAAGAATTAAAAAAAAAAACAAAGAAAAACAATTTAACTTAGCAGCGTTATTCGAACTATGGCTTCTTTTCGCAAATTGGCAAATTTTCAAATCTCTTTAAAGATTTTGAATTTGCTACTCGTACTTTGCAAATCTTTGCAAATTGACCATTGACATCATAATGTTGACTGCAATTTGTTTAAAAATTTTCTTAATTTAGTTCATATTGCATTAAAACAGTTTTATAATTCTTATTCCATAATTGATTCAGAATTTCTTATTCCATAATTAATTTTAAATTTAATTTTGTAATAGCAGAGTGACGAAAAAAATTTCAATTGTTTCGCTTTTTTAAAAATTCTTAAAATAAAATATCAAATTTGCTGGTAATTTAATCTTGAAGTGTTAACACTAATTCCAGACAGATTAACTTATTGTACTTCGGGTACTGTTTAAAATTTATAACGCAGCATATATTTGGATTAAGAGAACTATATGATAATGAAACGTTTTTCAGGATTTTTATTTAGAAATGAAATAAGTGAATACTTTTTAAGGGTCACTAAAATCTCCACGCACAGAAAGACGAAAATTGCATGTTAAATATAATATTTATTTAAATTTATACAGGATTTCCGAGACTAGATAGAACTCTTGAAGCAGTATGATAGAATACCCCCAGACGAACAAAAAATACCTAGTGACATTATTACTTCTCGGGTGGCTTCCCTTCTCCAATTATTAAAACATCACAGTTGGAATTTCAGGAAATATAAACAGATTTTAATCTTACATGTGCATTTGGAATGAACTAATGAAAATTGTAATTTTAAAAATTAATTTTAATTATTGTTATTATTCAAAAGAATGCTGATTTTAAAATATATATTTTTGTTAATTCACAAGGATCTGGTTGCAAACATTACAACCATCATTAATATTCATTTGCATTTGGTAATTACAATATTATTTTTTTTATGTTAAAACAAATATTTAATCTGTTTGTTAAATACGTGTAATTACTTCTGTAAACTGCATGATTTTTCATTATTAATCCTTAGATCTTAAATATTTCGAAAGTTAATTACTCGTAAAGTATACGTTCAATTTTTCGTAAATTATTCATTAAATTTTCATTATTAATTTGTTATACAAAAATTTTTGTTTTGTATTTGAAGTAATTTGTGTTATTTTATGCATTAAAAATTAATTACCATACATAAAAATCAATATTCAAATGTGAAAATTTTAATAATGACTGGATTTGGTTTAAAAATTTATGAATATTTATAAAATCTCTAGATGATGCCTTCAATTTGAAAATTTTTCTGTAGTCTCTTGTAAATTTCTTTAAAAATAAAAATTTTTAAAATAATGACATAGCCAAATAAAAGTCTTGGAGGGTGTCGTGTTTCTGAAAATTATTTTAAAAAAATGGGTTTTAAAGAACACGTTCTTTTCTTTCCAAAATTTTTCAAGGGAAAAGATAGGTATTTAAAATTATTCTCAGCTGTTGTTTACCTAGAGTGCCAATATTAAAGAACAGATTTCTTAATTGTATCAAAAATTTACAAGGATCTAAATTTTTAATGCTTAATTCGTAATTAATATCCGACATAATAATAATAATTACTATAAATTTTGATTGAGGTTTTCCCATACAATCTATAGTTGTAATAGTCCGCTAGACATAATTTTCATAAGTGGCTTCTGAGTCATTAATACCCACTCAGGAAATGAGCGAAAGTTTTCGTATAATTCCTGTCCATTTCTGTGACTATTCTGTACCGCTTCTGGCCGTAGTGGCTCAAAATTATTCACGTACTGTTATATGCAATACAGATCGTTAATCACCTTTTAATTTTGTAAAAAAAAAAAACATTTTTTGACGTTGTTCAAAATTACATTGTTATTAGCTTCCGAATTTGTCTAAAATATAAACGCGAAAAATCAAAGTAAATAGTTAGATTTTTAAGCACTTTTTTGGGCGGTCTACAAAAAAAATGAAAAAAATTTTTTTTCCCTCCCGCTTGAATTCTTAATTTAATTTTCCTTACATTTATAATAGCCAATAATTAAAAAGGAAAAACTTTCCATACTTTTTCTAATTTTCCACAATAAATAAAAGCTCTTCTTCATATTTTAAAAGGGAAATTTATGATCAAATTAATTAAAAAGGTCTACTATAGGAAAATTCAATCAAATAGAGAAAAATTACTAAGAGCTAAAAAAAAATTAAATTAAAAAAAGGATAAAAAGAAAAATAAGAAATAAACGTACAAAAAAATATAAAACAAGGGTTAACAAGACTTTTACTTAAGGATTTGAAGAATTGGGATTAAAAAAAAATTTTAAAACACCGTCATTCTTGTCTTTTAATGAAATATAATGAAAAATTCAATACTTCGCTACGGGGTCCTTTTTGATTCATGAAGCAAAAAAAAAAAACCTTTGAATCATAAAAACTCAGAAGACAATCTAAAATAATCTTTTAGCTTAAGATTTTTTTCATAGATAAATGCACTTTACAAACTGTAATATTGTTTCCTTAATAGATGTCACTATATGCACAAAGGATAATAATAAAAATTGGGTTTGCTTTCGAATAAAATTAAAAGATTGAAAAAATAGTGGAAAAATATTTAAGGATTAGATAAACAATTAATTTTCCATTTAAAATTAAATTAAACACAAAGCAGTCCAATAATCTTTAATTTAAAAATGATTAGCCTTTTGAGTTAATTTAATAATTAAAGTATTAAATTGAAATTGCAATTATAACAGTAGAGTAGTTAGACCTGTTAAAGAAGGAAATTTATCAATAACAAGTCAATCATAAGTAGAACCATGTCCTCACATATCTTTGAATTTTTGACTATCTAATTTTAGGATTAAAGTATAAAAATTGCATAAAAGTTTTTCAATATTGCCTTCAATTTCCTGTATAAAATCAAATAAGTTTTTCTTCCTTTAATCTAAAAAAATTCAATTTATTTCACTGTCACAAAATGAAGAAATTTCTTATAGAAATTTTTATATTTTTATCATAGCGGTGCCACACAATTTCATTGTAGCCGAAAATTAAATGCATTAAAAATTCATGAGAAAAATTTTTTATCTGAAATTCTAATAGATTAAAATTATACAACAAAATTTACGAATTTAGTGAAAATGAATTCTACAAGAAAATTTTTTCAATTTTCTATTAAAGAAATTGCAATAAAAAAACGAGATTTTAGGATAATATTTTTTTTTCTATTTGAAAATTGTGAAAACTATTAAAGAGTTTTCGAGCCACTTTTAATCTGATTTTATTTTTGTGTCATTTTCGGTAAACACAAAAAAAAACCTTTAACTGGATAAGGTGAAAATAAATTTAAAGTCAACTTCAATTTTTAATATTAATAAAATTATTAAAGGAAAGCAATAATTATTATGAACAGATCTTGGGTGTGGCACGTTTTTCTAATTCTAGAAAACTATAACAGTCGAAAACTTATCAAATTATCAAAAGCGTTGCAAATATTTTTTATGGTATCCTATAATAATTTTGTTATTACAGACGGCCATTAAAAATAAAAAACAAAATAAATGCAGCGTAGTTGGAAACTATATCAAGACAAAACTTCACTCTCCAAAAATTATGTACAAATTTAACAAAAACAAATTATTACGTTTAATCGAAATTTTAAGGATTTTTTGAAATTGCAGTAACAACTAAAAGCATGGTAATATCCAAAAACCCTCTGCGATGTAAGCTTGCAGTATACGAAAAAAGCATCGAACAAGTGATGGAATTTAAATACTTAGGAGCACTTATAACATCATCACGTGATCTAACCAAAGAAGTTAAAACACAAGCAACTAAAGCATCATCGATTTCAGGTTATTTAAAAGATGTTATCTGGAAAAATAAGCACATGAATATTAGAAGCAAAACCCGCATATATAAGACATGCATAAGACCTATAATCACTTATGCAATAGAAAGCAGGGCAGACACAAAAAAAACCGAAAATATTATGAGCGCAGCGGAAATGGCTACATTAAGATCCATAACAGGTTACACCAGATACGATCATAAACGCAACGATGAAGTAAGAGAAATTTGCGAAATTCAGGATATTGTCAAATGGAGTAGAAGAAGAAGAAAAGAATGGAATCAGCATGTACAAAGGATGTCGCCAGACAGGGTGGTTAAAAGAGCATTCATGGGGAAACCCAGTTCGTGTAGACTTCCAGGAAGACCACCGAAGAGATGGCAGGAATGCTGGACTTCCGGCTCAATGTCAGATCATCATTAACAAAAAAAAAAAAAAAAACAAAGAAACAAATATATTATATTGTATCAAATAAATTTATGTATATATATAATGTATGCAGTATACATGTATTTATATTCTGTATTAATGTTACATATTATGTCCAACGCTTTTGTAAATTAACAGAGCAAGGCTCTAAATAAAGAAGAAGAAGAAGAAGAAGCAGTAACAACGTAAATGAAATACACGAATATTCTTCAAAAAATTTAATTACCAAATTTTAATTTTCTATTTAAATATTTGATTTCCATAAGTTCATATACAGATTTTGGATAGCTTGATTTTGTGAGAGACACATAATCGATCTTTATTTTCTAATAATTTATAAGACTCAAAAAATGCTTGTTTTTTTTTCAATCGGGCATGGTTATTAAAATTATTAGAATATTTCCAGAATTCATATTAAAAAGTGATCCTCTTTGAATTTGAATTGCAACCTGAAATCTCAACAGCTTACCCTTTAAATATAATTAATTTTACTTTTATGTTCATATATGGAAATTTTGTTCGGGTTGCTATGGAATAATTTTTACTTGTTTTTAAAATCTCTGCAAAAAATAAATTTTGATATTAAAATAATGAAATTGGGACACACATGCCCCGCGAAGTATGCAATTTTCTCTCAAATAAAAAATTTTAATTATTTTTAAACATAAGCAATATCTCGGGGCATACCCTATCATGATTCACTAAGTGTCGAAATTAGTTCTAAGTAAAATAAGTAAAATTATGATTCGAACAAATTCTGGATATTTTCTAGACTCTTTCCTTATTCTTACATTTAAAAATTGTTATTCGACTTATTCTACATTTTCATTCACTAGATTGATTATGATTATAAATAGCCAATATTGTGCATTTAGTATTTTATAAAAAACACACATACGCTTGTACAAATTCATGTCTATGCTACATACAAAGCGAAAAGTTATCAAAATATTATGGAATTATTGGAAAAATTTTTTTACAAAAAATTAAAAATTAGAAAAAGAAGACAACGTAAGCAGCTATTTGAAAATAAAATTAAAAAATCATCACTGTCACATTCTAAAAATTTTCGATAGTTGTACATTTTCTATAATAACATAATGGATATCTATACCGTAGGTGTCAGAACATAAGATGGATGTTTTTCTTGTCACTCTTTTTCCAATAAAGAAATCTTGATATCGTTTGAAAACTACTTTAAATTCCTACATATTATGTGCATTTTTACTTTATACAATTTTTGTTCTTTTAGAGGAATCAGCACATACTTAAAAATATATTTGAACATATTGTATGTTTATGTGTAGGAAAAGAATAAAAAAATGAAATTTTATCAGGATGCTGCTGCAATCAAATAGAATAACGAATTTAAACCTATTGTTAGCACAGGCACTTGAAAAAAAAATAAAGAAAAACCAAAAAAGTTTTAACCCATTTACCCAAAATCGTACATGCAAGTGGGTGAAAATTTTAAATTTATATTGTGCATTGAATCTGTGTCGTTGAGGTACTAAAATATTATACATATATTGAGTAAATGCATAAAGTGATCAATAAAAAATGAAAAAAATTTGAAATTTTAAAAAAAAATTCGAGTGAAATATTCAAAAAGAGAAAATTCAAGTTTAATTTTTAAGACGAAGGTTGCCAATATTTTAATTTTTGTGAGAAAAAAGCCGTGCGTTTCGTATATATTTTTAACATTATTTTGGTTAAGAGTAATTTTTGTAGTGCTTTTTATTAGGGATTCTAAAAATGTAGATGTGGCAAGTCCGAATAAATTATTGTGTACTATTACGTATAGGCATATAGATATTAGTATTCAGAAAAACCCATTAGTTTTTTCGAATTTGAGATTATAATACAAAATAAAATAGATAGAGAGTAGAGAAATTTCACAATAAACAAAAGTTCCTCTTCATTCGCTTGCACTCAGTAACAGAAAGTAACTTAAACTGTTTAGAAACTTGCAATTTGTGCCCGATAACTACTCGACTAGATCATATTTTAAACTATATTTTTGAATAAATAGCATTCCTTATAACATTAGGTTTGTTTATTTTAAGTCACTATTTCCAAAAATTTCCTTTAAATTCTAAAATAATAGCAACCCTATTTCTTTTATACAATATAGCATTCGATTTGCTTGCACATTATTGCTTGTATATTGTGTAAAGCCCATATTACAAGAAAAGTTACTTTTGAAATTTTAAACTTTTTTATATTTGAGAAAGAAAACCTTTCAAATCTTTTATATAAATCGTAAATTTAATTTATTTTTTTGATTTTCATTAAATATTCGCTTCCGAAATAATATATTTGTAAGAAATACATCCTAAGTCTTGTAGAATAATATTGTACCTGTATGAATATCCATAGTCTTTCTATTTTGCATAAAATCTCGTATAAATTCTTTTGGCAATCAGCTGAAATTATTGTAGACTAAGAGTTTATTTTGTAGTTTAAAAATAGGGGTTCAAAATTAATCATCTTCTTAGTTTATGAAAATTTGCATTCTACAAAAGCCATTTTTTTAAAAAATTAAAAATAATGAAACTCAGAGCTAATCCAATAGTATTTTTAACATACATGCAGGCGTATAGATAAGTACTGACTCCAATAGGATTTTTATAATATCCGTCTTTGAATGTATCATCAGAGTGCCTGAAAAGCAATATTACAAAATAAATAAGTATTTCCGATGTTGATGTGTTTTAATTGAAGCATATGCGGAAACTGAAGATTCCTAAATTGAAAGTTACATATTTCTTGGACCTCGTAATTTAAATTATAAATTTTGAGAACAACAAGATCTGCACAGCTTTACGCATAAAATCAATGTCCCATACCTATAATAATTAATTTAAATTATGCAAGAAATTACAAAACAAAACCAAATTTATTCATCTTCTTTCGGGTACATAAAACAAATATTGAAATAACAATAATGACGATCTCTATAAAAATCTCTATAAATCCACCTATACAACAGATATGGCAAACACTGCAACGATGTTGATATTCAAATATTTAAATTGAAAGTCTTTTAGTTTTATTTGCATAGTTTTATTATCTCTTAACTTCATGCACAATTAGTAATACCGGATGAATATATGTACAAGAACTGTTCATATTTACATTTTGCATTATGTTCAATTTATTTTCCTTGAAATTCGATTTTAATCACCTTTCAACACCAACACAAAATAATAATATTGGGAAAACTTAAACACAAAAAAAAAAACCAAAAAATGATTAAGTGAGAACTGAACGGTCAAAAAATAATTTGCATCCAAAATAAGGTATACATGTAAGATAAGAGGGTTTTTGACAGAAACCAATTATTGTCCAATATAAAAGAATATAACTTGAAAATATTTTAAGCGTATATGAGATGAGAACTGTGGCTCTGTCATATAAATTGAATTATATCAGTCCTCTTTGATATGTTTTAGAAAGTAGCGAGTCTAACACGAATCCGCTTATTACCTGTTTTTATTTTCAGAAATTTTGCTTGTATTTTCTCGCTAATCGTTTCTTAAATCTGATATGCTATAGGCTAGTAATTTCTTTTAAAGTTGGAAATAGTTCAAGTTTCTGAACTATACTTATGACTGAGCAGATGAATTTTATCAAAAACCCTCAATGTTCATTACATTATTGCATATTGGTTCAGTATCATACACTATATAAATATATGTCAATTGTAAATATGCCTGGTCTCTAATAGCAATGTTAATCTACTCCTGTTTTAATTTGTGTACCTATCTGTGTTCTTGTACAATATAATTAAAGTTGTTCTCACTTATTTTAGGATATCAAGAAAAATGAATAAAGTATCCGTATATGCGGCTTTGAATGATTTCTTAAGTTCAATTTTAAAATTTTCAACAAGACCGTATTAAATTTAAATTTTCTTTTCTCAAAAGATATTTTTATACATATAAGCGTTGCGGAAATAAATTACGTTACTACAGCTTTGAAAAAATTCTTGCTAGAGCTGAAATTTTGCTCCTCTAGTAAATTTAAATTTTAACTTTAAATTTAATATTTTTAGAAAAGCAGTGTAATTTTAGCCTTTAAACTATTTCATTATAACTACTTAGTCTAAATTAATTAAATTTTTATAAATTAAAGATGAAACAAGATGAAATCTGATCTTTACTTAAAACTAAGAATTATTTGCAAGGTCAATCCTCGAAAATTTTGCTTTAGGATCACATTTACAAAATTTTATTTTTAGTTATAAGAATCCCGAATTGGAGGTACAAAGCAATTTAATTTAAAATGAATTTTTTTTCCCCGCGTGCAATTCATCCAAAATATGACAGCATTTATTATTTAATATTATAAACGTTACATCTTACTTGCTCAACTGTACAAGTTCTCTTCTTAGTGTGAACCAAAAATTCACGCTTTTCGTACAATCTACAAACCTATATAATTCTATGGTACGTAGCAATTTATTCCAATATAAAATGATATTCTTCTATTTCTGTAAATCAGAATTTTCTAATACGTGTATGTATGAATGTATAAGCAATCAAAAATTATTAACTATAAGAAACACACACAAACATTACATGTAAATTGAAAATAGTATTTTGAATGATGCTTTCTGAGTGCTTACTAAATGTATGTAAATATGTAGAGAGAAATTTTTTTATATGCTCTTAGGTATAAACTGTTCATATGTGTTGTTAATTACATAATACCCATGTAGATAGGTAAACATTACTCTTGTAGTAAATTTCCATGTAAGGTGAAATTGGTTTTTGTTTTGCTGTTTGTTTTAGGATGGTATTCTTAGAAAATTAGGTAACAAAAATTGGGAAAAATTTAGTTTTCAAAAACAAAGGATGAAAAAATTGAGTATTTGAGCAACAAATAATTCTTTTACAGTAAAATTTAAATACAAAATGAACATAGAAAATAACACCTCAATAGGGTTGTATGTACCTTTATTCGCACACAATATATTTGCCTGTATTTTC